CTCGAGATCTCTCCCGCCCCGGTCGTCCCCTGCCCTCGCCGCGCCGATCGGTCGTCTTGCCTTCCCGTGCTGTCGACACCTTCCCTGGGGAGGCAGCCGGGGCCCTTGTTCCTATACCTTCGGGATATCCCGAAGGTATGGGGACAAGAACAGATATTTGTTCTGTCTCCACTCGTGCCCTCGCGCTTCGTGGCGGGCACCGCTGCCGCCTTGCCCCTCTCTGCCGCTCCACCTCCTGGCGGCTCCTCGCCTGTCCCTGATGTTTCCCCCCGAGGCCACCCTGACTGGCCCGGGGGTTCGCACACCGTCGTGTTTCCTCTTCCTGGCCAGCTGCCGTTGTCGCCTTCCTACTGCGCAACGCTTGTTGCCTCGGCTCGTTGTGTCCACCTTTCCCCTGCCCGCGCACCCCTCGCGACTGCCCCCATCACGAGTGTTGCTGTCGGTCCCCCTGTAGGCGGATCCAGTTTCTCCACGCTGCGTGAGCTGGCCTGGTCCGCGCTTTCTCGCTTGGCTTACCCTACTGCGCGCCGCCGCGCGCGTGGCCGCGACGTCAGAAAGTGTGTGTGTGTGTTGTGTGTGTGTGTGTGTGTGTGTGTGTGTGTGTGTGTGTGTGTGTGTGTGTGTGTGTGTGTGTGTGTGTGTGTGTGTGTGTGTGTGTGTGTGTGTGTGCGTGTGCGTGTGCGTGTGCGTGTGCGTGTGCGTGTGCGTGTGCGTGTGCGTGTGCGTGTGCGTGTGCGTGTGCGTGTGCGTGTGCGTGTGCGTGTGCGTGTGCGTGTGTGTGTGCGTGTGTGTGTGTGCGTGTGTGTGTGTGCGTGCGTGCGTGCGTGCGTGCGTGCGTGTGTGTGTGTGACTGTGTGTGTGTGTGTGTGTGTGTGTGCGTGCGCGCGTGTGTGTGTGTGTGTGTGTCTGTGTGTTTGTGCTTGTGCTTGTATTTGTGACTGGATTTATGTATGCTTCTGTATGTGCGCGCAAATCGCGTGGTAGCTCTGTCGTTTGAATATGCCGTGGTGCTTCTGATTCACCGCAAGCGTGATCCGCCATTACTGAGCCCGCGTCTGAGACCCATTGCGGCGCGCATGTGGATGTGGCTATCCAGAGACCCGCTCCGATGTTATGTGCTGCTGTGCTTCTCTCTCTCTCTCGCGCGTAATTGCTTCATCCTTGTGTATGGCTTGATGTTAAATTCTTTTTCCTTTCTGAGATTATATATTTATCTATATATATATATATATATATCGGAGGTTGATCGACCTCCTACCCTGACACGTCGATTAGCGAATGGGCCGTTTTCGGTTCGCGAGAGGACGTCGCGGTCGTCATTTGCGGGTCCAGGTCCGTCGGTTCGGTCGTAGGCCGTTTTCACTAAAGAGTGGTTTACGAAAGGGAGGATTGTCCACCGCCGCATATTCCTCTTCCTATATTTTTAAAAGCCCCGGCGGGGGGACCCCCCCCCGAAACCGAACTCCCAGGATCTGGGGCTTTGGGACCCTCCGGACGGGCCTCGAAGCCGCTCCCCGGGCCTCGCAGGGCGTTTTGCCAAGCCTTTCCAGCACACCTAGGGCGATCAGGGGGGGTCATCGGAGACGTCTCAGAGACCCCCAAGACAGCACAAGAGCGCTCCAAGAGTGACCGACGTGACCTCAAGATGGCCCAAGAGGCCTCCAGGACGGCCCCAAAGAGACCTCCAAGAGCACTCCCAAGAAGGCCCCAAGGGCACAGATCATGGATTTTCTGTTGGTTTTTGGTGATTTGTGGTGGTCTCCTCTTTTCGGCTTCCCGACGCTCCAAGACGGCGGTCTTCTGGGCGTCCGAAGCCGCCTGGGAGGCTCCGAAATCGCCCCACAACCATCCGAAAGGGCTTCCAGGCAGTCCAAGAGAGCCCCAAAACAGCACAACATCAGTCCAAGATGGCCCTCAGAGAGCCCCATGGCGGCCCAAGATGGCCCCAAGACACCCTCCCGGTTGTTCAGGGAGATCGCGGTTGGAGGCAGGGTGGCCCGAGGAAGCCCCCAGAGGCCCCCAGAATACGCCCAGGAGGCCTCCAGAAGGCCTTAAGAAAGCCTGAAACAACTTTGTGAGGCCCCCAGAGGCTCCCCCAGGAGGAGCCTCCACAAAAAAGAGCTCAGGAGAATGAGGAGAATGCGCAGGGTATGGCGAAAATGATGAAAAAGAAGCATGGAGGAAGGATTACGAATAACATTATCATAGCGGCGATGCCAGAAAAGGCAACAAGGAATTATCGCTAAATTGTCGGCTTGACCTTCCTGTTATTCCGCCTGCATACCAAACTTCAAGGACCAAGGTGCATGGCGCGAAGCGCCACTGCAGTCTTGTACGTATATATATATACACACATACAGATTCCTGATTATTTACCTAACAGCGAAGACTGATAGGTTTCTAATGGTCTCAAAAGAAAGCATCATGACTCCCCAGGGGGGTCTGGGCAGGATCCAGGGAGAATCCGCGGAAGTCGTTTTAAGCAAACAGTTACACACTTCGTGGTCTTCGAGGTCCCAGAACTCCACTCCCGGGCCACATTCTGAATGCCCGGAGCCAACTGTAGGCCACTTCGTGCTCTTCGAGTTCCCAGAACTCCATTCCCGGACCTCATTTTGAATGCCCGGAGCCAACTGTAGGCCACTTCGTGCCCGTCGAGTTCCCAGAACTCCATTCCCGGGCCTCATTTTGAATGCCCGGAGCCAACTGTAGGCCATTTCGTGGTCTTCGAGTTCCCAGAACTCCACACATTTTGAATGTTGAGGCAGGCTGATGCTGAGGCTGAGGCAGGCTGAGGCTGAAGCAGGCTGAGGCTGATTCCGAGGCTGAAGGCAGACTGAGGCTGAGGCTGAACCAGGCTGAGGCTGAGGCTGAGGCAGGCTGAGGCAGAGGCTGAGGCAGGCTGATGTTGAGGCAGGCTGAGGCTGAGGCTGAGGCTGATGCAGGCTGAGGCTGAGGCTGCAGGCTGAGGCTGAGGCTGAGGCTGAGGCAGGCTGAGGCTGAGGCTGAGGCTGAAGGCAGCTGAGGCTGAGGCTGAAGCAGGCTGAGGCTGAGGCTGAGGCAGGCTGAGGCTGAGGCTGAGGCAGGCTGAGGCTGAGGCAGGCTGAGGCTGAGGCTGAGGCATGCAGGCTGAGGCTGAGGCAGGCTGAGGCTGAGGCCGAGGCTGAAGGCAGACTGAGGCTGAGGCTGAAGCAGGCTGAGGCTGAGGCTGAGGCAGGCTGAGGCTGAGGCTGAGGCAGGCTGATGCTGAGGCAGGCTGAGGCTGAGGCTGAGGCTGATGCAGGCTGAGGCTGAGGGCTGAGGCTGACGCCGAGGCTGAAGGCAGACTGAGGCTGAGGCTGAAGCAGGCTGAGGCTGAGGCTGAGGCAGGCTGAGGCTGAGGCAGGCTGAGGCTGAGGCTGAGGCTGAGGCAGGAGGCTGAGGCATGAGGCTGAGGCCGAGGCTGCAGGCAGACTGAGGCTGAGGCTGAAGCAGCTGAGGCTGAGGCTGAGGCTGAGCTGAGGCTGAGGCTGAGGCTGAGGCTGAGCAGGCTGACTGAGGCAGGCTGAGCTGAGCAGGCTGAGCCGAGGCAGGCTGAGGCTGAGGCAGAAGCTGAGCCGAGCCGACGGCCAGACTGGGCTGAGGCGAAGCAGGCTGAGGCTGAGGCAGAGCCAGGCTGAGGCTGAGGCTGAGGCAGGCGAGCTGAGGCAGGCTGAGGCTGAGGCTGAGGCTGATGCAGGCTGAGGCTGAGGCAGGCTGAGGCGAGGCTGAAGCAGGCTGAGGCTGAGGCTGAGGCAGGCTGAGGCTGAGGCAGGCTGAGGCTGAGGCTGAGGCAGGCTGAGGCTGAGGCTGTGACTGCGACTGCCGTTCCCACTGCGACTGTTATCGCGAATGCGACTACGACTGCGAGAACAGCAGAATTCTACAACTGGATTCTCATCTGAATCTTAAGGGGAATGCTTCCAGATATGCTCCTACCCATCGCTGTTAGGTTGCTTTGCCGGGGTAAAATATATATATATATATATATATATATATATATATATAGAGAGAGAGAGAGAGAGAGAGAGAGAAAGATAGGGCCGGGGAGCCCACACCCTGCCGCACCGCACCCCCCCTCCTAACGAATTTGGCCCTCCCCGGGCCTCCGGGCAACCCTTCAGACGACCCGGGAGAACCTAACGAGAGCCCGAAGACGACCCCAGACGGGTTGCAGGCGTTCCGGCGCGCTCCCAAAACGACACCAGAAAGCCCCAATACGGTCCACGACGACCCCGAAGAAGCCGTCATACCCCCAAAGATCGCTCCACAACGCCCCAAGAGGCCTCCAAGAACACTCCCAAGAAGGCCCCAATAGGCAAACATCATTGATTTTCTATGGGTGTTCGGTGAATTTTGGGGTTCTCCTCTTTTCGGCTTCCCGACGCTCCAAGACGGCGGTCTTCTGGGCGTCCGAAGCCGCCTGAGAGGCTCCAAAATCGCCCCGCAACCATCCGAAAGGGCTTCCAGGCAGTCCAAGAGAGCCCCAAAAAGGCACAACAGAGGTCCAAGATGGCCCTAGAGAGGCGGCCCAATATGGCCCCAAGACACCCTCCGAAGCATTCCAAATCGTGGCCCGGTCGTTCAGGGAGACCGCGGTTGGAGGCATGGTGGCTCGAGGAAGCCCCCAGAGGCCCCCAGAACACGCCCAGGAGGCCGACAGAGGGCCTTAAGAAAGCCTGAACACCTTTTGTGAGGTCCCCAGAGGCTCTCCAAGGAGAAGCCTCCGCAGAAACAGATGAAGAGCATGGAGAGAAAAAAGAAGCATGGAGGAAGGATAACGAATAACATTTTCTAATGGCGATGTCGGAAAAGGCAACAAAGAGTTATCGCTAAATTGTCGGCTTGGCTTTCCTGCCATTCCGCCTGCATGCCAAACTTCAAACTTCAAGGACCAAGGTGCATGGCGCGAAGCGCCACTGCAGTCTTGTATACATATATATACACATCTCTCTCTCTCTCGCTCTGAACTTCCACCGCAGGACGTGTACGCGACGCTGCCGACCTGGTGGAACCACTCGAAGCTGGAGGAGGTGCCGTGCGGCGCGCCGGACTTCGACGACCGGCTGCTGGTGTTCAAGGAGGGCGCCTCGTGCAGCTACTGCAGGCGTGCTCCAGCACATGGACCAGATATTCGAAGCCGTAGACATTCGAGGGAAATTTTAAATCACACCCACGCCCCCGACCAATCCCGGGGGGTCGAATATTTCTGTCCACTCACGCCCCCCCCGTTGTCACGCCATCAATATTAATTTCGGGGGATCTGGGGGGGGCACCTTGGGCCACAGGGTTCGAGTATAATGTCCATGTACGGTCCCCTCCCCGCCCTGCCCCTTCCAAGCTCTCGCCACGAGCCGAGCAGGTCCCGAGGGAGACGGGTCCCGAGGCTGTTCTTCGCCGTCCGCGGCCTCCCGGGGCCCTCCACGCCTCCCCGTCGCACCGCCGGACGGCACGCCTTGGTGGTGCGACGGGGAGGAGCTGTCCATCAGGAAGAGGAGGAGGAGGAGGAGGAGGAGGAGGAGGAGGAGGAGGAGGAGGAGGAGGAGGAGGAGGAGGAGGAGCAAGACGATAAGGAGGAGGAAGACGATAAGGAGGAGGAAGACGATAAGGAGGAGGAGGAGGAGGAGGAGGAGGAGGAGGAGGGGACGGGGAGGAGCCGGGGGATTACGAGGAAAATAGTGAGGAGGACGCCAGGTGCATGTACGATTACGGTGAGAAGCTTCACCTGAATCCCCTCTGCTGCTCCGTGGACAAGTTCGGGACTCCCCACGTCGACGCGACCACAGGACATGTGTGGCATTCTGCGACAGGTTGACATAAGCGCCTTGCATGGGGAACCTGGTTCCCTCCTCCTACGCTCGGCGGCGAGCGAGGGGGGGAAGTGAGAAGGAGAAGGCCCTCTCAGAAGGCGGCGGGACTTCTGAGAAGCCCTGGCGCTTCTGAGAGGTTTTGTGTGTCTTCGGGGAAGGCCTAGAAAGCTTCTCAGAAGGCTGGGGGATTTCCGAGCCTTCTGAGAAGGCCCGCCCCTTCTCACTTCCCCCCGATCGCGCCGCCTACTCCTGCTGATCAGCCTCCATTCCTCCATCCCCCGCCTGTTCTCCTCCCCATCCCTTCCTCCCCCCTCCCTCCTTCCAGCATGCTGGACAACCTCAGGTCACCCCTGGCAATCCACGGAAAGCCCTTGAGTAGCATCGAGGTCTTCTGGAACTCCAAGGAAGCTCCCTCCTCCTTCTTCCGTGCCTCCTCCTCCTGCCCTTACTCCTCCCCCCTCCCCCTTCCCCAGAACTCCTGCCCCCGGCCCACCCGACCCTCGGCGAATACTTTATAACCTCGCCTTCTTTTCGCTGTCTCCTCTTCGGCACCCTATCATTCGTCTCCTTCTTCAGTCATCAATCATTATTTTCCTCCTCCCCCTCATCCTTCATCATGCTCCTCATCCATCCTCATCCTCCTGCTTCTCCGCCGCCTCCTCCACCTCCTGTTCCCGCTCATCATGCTCCTTTCCCCTCCCCCCGCACATCCTCCTTCTCTCCCTCTGACCCCTCCTTATTACCATGTCCTCTCCTCCAATCCCATCCACGCGTCCGCTCCAGATGCATTTTCATTTCCCTAGAAGCTCATTGTCATCGTCTTTTTGCCGTCTCCTTTCTCCGCTTCAGTTCTCCTCCTCATCCTCCTCCTTCTCCTCCTCCTCCCTCCTCCCTCCTCCTCCTCCTCCTCCTCCTCCTCCTCCTCCTCCTTCTCCTCCCTTGAGCCCCTGGTGGCGCTTGCATCCTTCAGAGCCGTAAGTCCTCACAAATCTTTCCGACATCCATGGGGATTTCTTGTCGTCCTCGTTCTATCCTCGTTGACCTCCTTGTCTTCTATTCTCCTCATTATTCTTCCTCCTCCGTCCTCCCTGTCCTCCTCCTTTTCCTGATCCTCCTCCTGCCTCTCCTGCTCCCGACGCTATGAATATCCCTCCACCTTTGTCGTCGACGTTGTCGTCGTCGTCCTCGTCGTCGTCGTCGTCGTCGTCGTCGTCGTCGTCGTCGTCGTCATCGTTGTCGTCGTCGTCGTCGTCGTCGTCCTCGTTGTCGTCGTCGTCATCGTCGTGCTCCTCGGTCGTCGTCTGCCGGAGCGAAGGGGATTAAACCCACCCCACATGATTCTGTACGGGGGAGGTTGGGAAGGGTTCTCGCCGGAAGGGGGTCCAGCTTGCGGAGGAGAGGGAGGGGGGATTTTCGAGGGGGGGGAGGGGCTCGGGCGAAGCACAGTGCCCGTGAAGGGCGCCTTCCCAGCATCACATGCAGCAGATCTGGCGCGGATAGGGCGACGAGATCTCCACATCCGCTGCTCCTGGCCAGGCCCATCCTGGGCCCAGGATTGGCCTGGCCAGGAGCATTGGATATGTACAATGAATAGATCTCGTCGCCCTACCAGAGGTCGTAAGCTTGCGATCACTGACCCCGAGCGCTCCGCGCTCCCACAGCGCGCGCGTGCGGTCGGCGTGGCTCCCAGAGGACTCCAGAGCTGTCAGCCGTACCGCTCGGCGTACGACCTGACCTCGGGCGGCCGGGGCCCGAGAAAGCACGCGCGGCAGGGTGATCCTTCCAGCCGCCTCTCCCTCCTCGAGGAGGAGGGGGTGTGGTTGAGGAGGACGGGGAGGAGGAGGAGGAGGAGGAGGAGGAGGAGGAGGAAGAGGAGGGGGAGGAGGGGAGGACGAGGAGGAGAAGATGGAGGGGAGGATGGGGAGGAGGAGGAGGAGGAGGAGGAGGAGGAGGAGGAGGAGGAGGAGGAGGAGGAGAGGGAGGACGGAGGAGCAGGAGGAGGAGGAGGAGATGGAAGAGGAAGGCTTCAGGGTGTACTTGAACATTTACTCTTGGGTTTTTTGTTGTCCTGGGGGCCATCCCTCCCTTGCCTCCTCTTCATCCTCCTTGTCGTTGTCGTCTTCCTTCTCCTCCTCTTCGGCCACCCTTCCCTGTCATGATCCTCCACCCCTCCCCCTTATCCCTCGCCCCTCGCCTCCTCCTCCTCCTCCTCGTCCTCCTCCTCCTCTTCTACCCTTTCTTATCTTCATCGTTCTCCTCCCCCGCACTGCCTCCTCCTCTTCTTCGTCCTCCGCCTCTTTTCACCTCTGCCAATGTCGCATGTTCCTGCGCATTCTCGTCAGAGCGAGGGGTTCCATTCACGCGAATCCATTTCAAGTCGCGCGCTGGCTGGTTCAAGCTGGGCAGCTGTCTGGTGGGCGGGTGCGGGTCGGACCGCAGGGCCACAGGGTTCGCCGGGGGCCAAACAGTGCCACGGAATGTGGATTTTGTTTACACGCGTGTGTTTGAGGCTACCCATTGTGCATGTCTATTTTCCCAGGGCGCAACCCTACACTGGTCAAACACATGTGTTTGTACTGCACATTTCCTTTAGAGACGATCGCTATTAGAAATGGGAAACGACGTGCATCCCGAGATGCGCAGCACATGCGAGCATTATTCTTCAGTCAAACGATAAACCGAAATCGACGGCGTCGTGCCGATTCCACACGAAAGTCGCGTCTGGGTGGCGTGCCGGTCGTACGACATTGCCCACACCGTGCTTGCAGCTTGCACCTCGCGGCCCCCACGCAGCCTGCTGCAGCGGAGCCGGCGGCCTGTGCTCCTGGCGCCCCTCCTAGCCAGGTGTACGGTTAAGTCGGGCACGTCCCTCTACAGGAGGGATATTCAAAAATAGTCAAAAAATAGTCAGGGGACGATGTGTTAGCGTTTTTGTTTGTTAATGTTTCAATATTTTATCGTTTAACGAAATTGTTCGTCCAAAAACCGCCTGTAGGAGGACACGCCCGACCTCAGTGTACGGTTGATTGGCAAAATCCTGCACCAACCGCGCAACAGGGGCGACGGCGCAAACTTCCACGCGCCCCCCTGCCTTCGATTCAATGTTGATTGGCTGTGCCCGCGGGGTGCAGGATTGAGGCCAGTCGGCAGATCGACAAATCGCGCCACAGCCTGTCAATATGAACTTCTGAACGCTTCACGTATCCCCACCAGCCCATCCAGAAACGATGTCCAAGCGCGTTGAGGTGATCAGGCAAGTGCGGGAGCAAAGAGGGGTACGGCCGAACCGTGCGAAGCAGGGAGGAGGAGGAGGAGGAGGCTGGATGGATGGATGGATGGATGAGGGATTGGAGAGAAGGAAGATGAATAGGAGGAGGAGGAGGAGGAGGAGGAGGAGGAGGAGGAGGAGGAGGAGGAGGAGGAGGAGGAGGAGGAGGAGGAGGAGGAGGAGGAAGAGAAGAAGTAGGAGGAGGAAGGAGGAGCAGGAGGAGAAGGGCAAGCAAAAGGGCCAGAGGTCTCTTGGATGTCTCTCGGAGCCTCTTGGAATTTCTTTTGGGTGCTTCTTGGGGGCCTCTTGGGACTTCTTGGGGGTCTCTTGGGCGCCTTGGGTGCCTTTGAGGGGACCTCTTGGGGCCGCTTGGGGTCCTCTTGGGGGCCTCCTGGGGGCCTCTGGGGGGCCTCTTGGGGCCATCTTGGCGCCATCTTGGGGCCTCTTGGGGCCTCCAAGGCGCTTCTTGGGGCCATCTTGGAGGACATCGATCAAAGAAGGGGGGTTCCTTAATTAGCGCTGCCCCCCCAAGAGGCCAAAATGGAGCCCAAACCATAGTAAAACCATGGCTTCCTCGCCGAGGCCGTTTTGGACGCGCTAACCGCTCGCGACCGGCCCGTCCAGGTACAGGGGAGGGGTAGGGGGAGGGGTAAACCCCTCCCCGAAGGGGAAGAAGGGGGGTGGAAGAGGAAACTCCCTAAACCACCTACGCCCAGAGGGCTGGTGGGATTGGGGGCGCGGGGGGCGAAGACAAAAATCGAAAAAAGTGCAGGATTTTGTCTGAGGGTCAGTATCGTTTAACCGACCCCCATCCCCATCCCCATCCCCTTCGAGACCCCCACCGAATTACCCCCCGGTTGGGGATGCAACCCTCGAAGCCCGAAGGCAACGACCTATATCCCCACCTAGGCGGGCAAATCGGCCAGTGGGGCCCAGGCCGCGCCGCTGGGGATGGGGATCGGTCAAAACGAGACTCCGAGGGGTGGCACCCGGTTGGGTGCCTCCCGCCAGGGGGTCCGAACGATCGGGTGGTGCCCGCCCGCGGGGCGCACCGCCCGTGGGCGCCTCGGGGGCGCGCCCAGCGCCTCGGGGGGTGAGGTTCGCCGAGGTGCCGCCCCGGTGCCCGCTCGCGTGCGCCCCGTGGGCTCCCCCGCCGCCACAACATCCTCCAGCAGAGATCTAGCTCTCGAACCTCGAACCGACGCCGACGACGACGACGACGACGACGACGACGACGACGACGACGACGACGACGACGACGACGACGGCGGCGGTCGCCCGGGCCAGCGGCGGCGGGGGTGACCCACGGGGCGCGAGGTCCGTGGGGGTCCAGGTGGAGGAGGAGGAGGAGGAGGAGGAGGAGGAGGAGGAGGAGGAGGAGGGCGCGCTCTGCGCGGCTGGGAGGAGGAGGAGGAGGAGGAGGAGGAGGAGGAGGAGGAGGAGGAATGCAGGAATGCAGGAATGCAGGAATGCAGGAATGCAGGAATGCAGGAATGCAGGAATGCAGGAATGCAGATGGAAGCCACGTCCACAGTGGCAGCAGCATAATCAATCAGAGGAGGAACCCGAGGGAGGCGGGGCGGCGCGCCTCCGCGGGGTCGGCGTAGATGAGCGGGGCGAGGCGGCCACAGCGCGGAGGGCGGCACGCTCGCACTCCACCCCCGCTCTCGCTCCCTCGCTCGGTATCCCATCACACGACGACGACGCCGCCCCCGCCGAACCCTCGGTCCCCACCCCTTCACTGGGGGGGTCCCCTCCTTGGGGGCCTCCTCAAAACAAACATCAGGCAGGGATGCATACCTAAGGCATTCGCCCAATACAACAGGGCCGTGCTCGCCAACCCTCTGAGGTCCGACCTCGGAGGCGAGGGCAACCACCTGTGCGCTCGAGATAGCAGCAGGGGGCCCTCTGCAGGAGGGGAAGAGGCCCTTGGAAATCCGTGAGAGGTTCTCCCTGCCCTTAACAGTCGGCTTCTGACAGGGAGCAACCAGCCTGCGTGGGTCGACAGAGGAGGAGGAGGAGGAGGAGAAGAAGAAGGAAGAAGGAGGAGGAGAAGAAAAAGGAAGAAGAAGAAGGAGGAGGAGGAGGTGGAGGTGGAGGAGGTTGTGCCGAGGTTTCGCCCGGATGATGCCAGCCCGTGGGCGCGCCCTGCGCTCGGGGGGAGGGGACACGCAGAGGTTTCGTCGGGTGCCCGCCCGTGGGCGACCCTCGTGGGCGCCCGCACGGCTTGCACCGCACTGGCTGCACCACGTGGAGTGCACAGGGCAGCGTGCACCGCACGGCTGGCACCACGTGGCTCTGCAGCGGATGTCCTGTTTCGCAGAGCTTGCGCCGTGTAGACGGCACCACACAGACTGCACGTCATCTTGCACCACTTAGCTTGCACCGCATGGTCTGCACAACATAGCGTACACCACAGATACTGCGTTACGTAGCTCGCACTACATTGCTTGCTCCACATTGTTTGGAAGACGTAGAGCGCACACTGTATATTGCACCATATTGCGTGCTCCGCACAGCACGCACCACATAGATTGCACCACATACCTTGCACCACCTAGCATGCAATGAGTAGCCTGCACCACGTAAATTGCACCATATAGCTTGCGCCACATCGCCTGCACCACATAACTTACACCAGTTGGTTGCACCACGTAGCTTGCACATCTACAGTGCAATAGTTTACTGGTTGGGGTCCACACTGGCTAACAAGTACATGCTCCGATCTGCAGATGTTTACAAACAGGGGGGTGGGACCTGGCCCCAGCGACCCCGAGGACGCCATTTCTGAGGTCCCCCAGGACTTCTGGGCCTCCTGAACGTTCCCGCCGGGCCTAGCCAGCGGGCCCAGAGCGGTCAGGAGGGTGGCCAAACGGCCCCGCGAGAGCCTCAAGTAGCCCCTGAGACCCACGAGACGCCCGTGCATATGGATAGCACGAGAACGCGCTGTGGAGCGTCTTCTTGATTTGCAAGTCTTCACAGGCCTCCTCGAAGTCATGGTTGGTGCCCCTCGCGATTGGTCGCAGCATCCACGTCTCCATGGCCTCCAGGTACACGCGCGTGATTGCCATCTGTATTGCCCTCTGGTGCCTGTATCGGTTGAGCGTGATGGTCAACGTCAGTACCATGGCGTCGTCTGGCTGCGTGGGGTCGCGTTTGGCTCGAGGTGTGGTCCTTGGGCCCAAATGCCGTGACAGGCGCACGCCTCCTACCATTCTCGTTGTATCAGACAGCGGGGCCCTCGCCTGGCGCACAGCCGATCATCTTCAGTTTTCTGCCTTCAGTCTGGCCTCCTCCTCCTGCTCCTCCTCCTGCTCCTCCTCCTGCTCCTCCTCCTGCGCCTCCTCCCTCTCCTCCTGCTCCTCCTCCTGCTCCTCCTGCTCCTCTTCCTCCTCCTCCTCCTCCCTCCCCTCCTCCTCTTCATCCTCTTCATCCTCTTCATCCTCCTCCTCCTCCTCCTCCTCCTCCTCCT